GTCTCCTTTTTCTTGTTTATCTTCGGTTTTGCGCCAGACTTTTCATAATCTTCCGGCGAAAAAGGCTTTGGTCCCCATGTTCCGATTGTACTCATTGCTACCCAATCCCTCCACGAAGCCTCTTCGTTTTCAGAACCATTCTCCTTCCTTCCAGTAAGATTGTCAACACGGGAGTCTTTTATCGTAGAGGATTTGTTCACATTTTGAYATACCTTCTCCTTACATCTGTGCTTTTCAAAACCATCGTCATTATCAGAATCATCGTCTTTCCTGCCATTCGTAGACTCTGTCAAAGGTTTGTTCATTTTCTTCGGTTTCTTCTTTATCTTCGGTTTTGCCCCAGATTTTTCATAATCTTCCGGTGAAAAAGGCTTAGGTCCCCATGTTCCAATTGTACTCATTGCTACCCAATCGCTCCATGAAACCTCTTCATTCCYAGAATCATTATCTTTCCTTCCAGTACGATTGTCAACACTGGATTCTTTCATCTTAGAAGAGTCATTCAAATTTGAACATTCCTTCTCCTTCCTTCTTTGTCTTCGAACAACATCGTCATTCTCAGAAGCGTCATCTTTCCTTGCAGTAATATGCGCAAAAGAAGATTCTTTCGTCTTGCAGGAGTTTTTCAAAGCTGGACACTCCTTTCTTTGTTTTCGAAGATATTCTTGTTCAGCACATTTTTGACTCCAATTTCCCATCGGCCGCAACACTACTGAGTCGTACAAAGAAGCTCCTTGAATCTCACAACTTTTGTCTTTCTTATCGCTGCTATTGTTATCAGGTAGTTCCTTTGTCACAAAGGAGTGTTTAACAGGTTTCTTCCATTGGTAGTCGTCGAAAGATATCTCATTCCAAGTAGAACCTTTGATTTTTCCTTCTTTTTGTCTTTGAGGGAGACGAGGCGTTCCATCGACGTTCTGCAGAGCGTCGGGGTTGCCTGCAATTGTTGCGTCCATTTTCTTCTCTTTGATATCGTCAACCGTTAGAACTTCAATGTCATTGCAAGTTGATCCATTGGTTTCAACTTCTTTCTCTCTCAGGTAAGGACGACGTATTTCATCAACGTCCTGCAGAATATTATTGCCTGTCGTTTGCTCTCTTTCCTTATCTACCATTTCATCAACCAAAGGAGTAGTGAGTTGAACTGTTACTTCTTTTTTCTCTTCCGAACCATGGTCCCTCTCTACTTCTTTAAACCCAGATTCAACATTACTTGTCTCTACGGAACCCTTTTGCCCTTCTTCAAGGTCTTTCTTAGAATATTCGAGTTTGTCATGTTCACTTTGATGCTTGACATCCCCAGTGATTGACTGACTTTTTACATCAGGAAAAGGGTGGAGTTCGTTTTCATTATTTTCACTTTGAAGCTTATCTTCCMAAGTGACATCTTCTTCGCAACATGATCTGGGTTTTCCGTACCCATTGCATTCTGGTTCTTCTCTCTTTAGTATATCACTGTCTACGGTTGCAATCTTTATTGCTGTAGCATTTGCATTTGAAAGGTGCTCTGGTTCATGGAAGGGATGTTCTAATCTATCTGTCGYTTTCATTCCGTGTAAGTACGAATCGTCTTCTTCTTGAAGTCGTATGGCAAGATCCTTGTCTGTGATTATCGACATCACATTGGAGGAATCTCTATTTTCTGTCTTACCTTCAGTCGAAGGTACTCTTTCGTCGCTAATTGAGGAGTATTGTAGTGCAGTATCACTGGAGAAACTGCCATCGTCGGGTCTTACGGTGACTATTTCTCCATTGCTTTGTTCTGCATCTTTCCTTCTCGACTCTTGTTCTGGGAATCCCAAAGAGRTGTTCGTTTTGGGGAAACTCGCATCGCTGGGTCTTGCAACGCTCATTTCCTCTTCGTTATCTCTTGTCTCGCCTTTCCTCAACTCCTCGAGGGATCCCTCGGAGATACTTCCATCGGCAGGTCCTCCGACGAAGTCTCCTCTGATTGTTACTTCATGAGTCGCATCAGTGTCAATTGATTGGAATTCTACTACGTTCTCCTCTAMTTCTGCAGTGTCGGAGAGTCGACCATCGCTGGGTCTGGCAACGGTCATTTCTCCTTTGCTTGTTTCGCATGCTGTACCTTCTTTCTGTGTTGAATTAGCATTCTCGGGGAGTCTGCAATCGTCGGGTCCTACGATGAGACCATCCCCTTTGCTTGTTTCTGTGTCATGGATGACACATGCTGTACCATCTTCTTGTCTTGCCTTATCATTCYTAGATAATCTGCAGTCGTTAGGTTCTTGGACGAGTGCATTYTCTTTTCTATTTTTCGGTTTATGTKCTTCAGATTTGTCTGAAGATTCAAAMTTTTCTTGCATTYTTGCAATCTCTCCCTCATTATCTGCGAGGGGTCTTCCATCATTTGGACTAACAACAGAAGAAGCTTCCTCTCTGTGTTCAGGATTATGGTTTGGCCTATGCTGTTGCTTCMCGTCTTCTTCGTTTGYGCGCTTTTCCTCAAGGGAGGAAGATGAATCAGATGTCTCAATCTTAAGGATATCGTCGTCTGTCATCACTGTGCTAAGAAGGGCTAGCACTTCTTTTTTTTCAAAAGGTGTGGACTCATCTCTGCTTGTATGATCAAGAGGATCTTTCCCTTTATCAATGAATACCGGAATAAATTCCGGAATCAAAACTACTTCTTCCTCCTCTGCACTCAGGTCRCTCTCATCTACTTCCTGACSATTCGTTTCATCATGGTTGTCCATGTCTTGCTCGATATCTTGAGCTTTGTCATCGACAATTTCATCATCCTTGGAGTGTACTCTCTTATCCTTAGAGCAAGAACCTCTTACTGCGGCAGCATTTGGCTCTACATCCTCAGAACAGTTATCTATTGCGGGAGCATTTGAATCGATTTTTGCATTGGCCGGTTCCTCGGCATTCGCAATGACAATTAGTTCTGAAACTTCGCTGGGGGTTGATGCCGTTGCCATGGGAACTGCATCGAACGAGCAAGTTAAAGCGTAAGGATCCCCCATGG